ATAAATACAACCATTTATTTGAGGTTTTTCATGACAAAGTCTGGCTGTAGAGATGAGGTACATGGCTTGGTGGATGAGACAGGACAAGATGAGATGCCTCGTTTGGTGCATGGGGGGAGATCAGTGGATGTTGTGTGTCTCTTCTTCAGTATAGCTTTTGATACTGTCTCCCATAACATCCTCATGGACAAGCTGATGAAGTATGGGCACGTTTAGTGCATAGAAGGTGGTCTGAAGAGTGGCTGAACTGCAGGGCTCAGAGGGTTGCGACAAGCAGCATAAAGTCCAGCAAGAGGTCAATCCCTAGTAGTGTCCACAAGGGCCCAATACTCTTTATCATCTTCATTAATAATCTGGATGATAGGACCAAATGCTCCCTCAGCAAGTTTGCCGACAGTATAAAACTGGGAGGACTGCCTGATTCACCAAATGGTTGTGCTGCCGTTCAGAGAGACCTTGACAGCCTAGAGAAATGGGCAGAGAGGAACCTCATGAAGGTGAATTCAGCAAAGGGAAATCCAGACTCCTGCACTTCAGCAATCTGAGTAATGTTCCCCTCTTATGTATTTCAACCTTCAAATGATTTTGGCCATGTGTTATCCTCAGACAGTTTTATTATGTGATGTTACAAATTTTATTTTGTCTTATCTTGGTATTCAGCTTGATGATAAAGCAGTATGATCTGATGGCTAGCTGACGTCAAAAGAGGCAGACTTCCTTCTTCCATCTCTTCCCCCTCTCCTAGACAAGTTCTGCTGCCTTCTCAGCGCTGGCACTGATGCATGACAAATCTGTTCCAGGGAGCTAAATCAGGAAAAGTGTATTTTTTTTCCTAGTAGAATTAGATTTTTTGTTTATTTACCTCCATGAATTATTTTATGTGGTCACCTGAATGGCAGTGCTGGTGCAAAAGAAGCAGGAGGAGTTTGTGGCTGGAGGTATAGGGAAAAAGGAATGTCAGAAGAATTTTATTGCTTTTAATGACAGCATAGCTGTACCTTCAAAGAATACCTTCAGTTGAAACTGGAAAGAACACAGAAATTTTGCTTAAACTGGGACTAAAGATTATATATAATATAGAAATAGATAATATAGAAATAGATAATGTTATAAGTTTAGATAATAGAAGTGCCTGATATTCTTTACTGTAATGCTAAAATGCTTTTTAAAACTTCCCTTCATACTTAGAAGGAACTTTCATCTTAAAAACAAACTATGTAATGGAAAAAATGGTATGATAAACTACACTCTACCTCTAAAGAAAATAAGTAGAGACACAGTTACCCCAGTACCCTGTTTCAACAAATACATAGGAACATACAGCCAGTATCATGAAAAAGCCAATTAGAATGAATAATCTAAATACCAAAAATAAATACGTCATGTAATATTTAAATTTATCAAGAAGCTACTGCTAGCATAAACTATGAAATACTGTCTATCCATCATGTTTACAAGCATCACCTACACCAAAGTTGTTGATCTGTCGTGTTGAATGTTATTTGTCCATCCTATTCATGCTACCTTTTCCATTTGCAGGAAAACAGTATGGGAATTAAGACTTTTCTAACACAGCTTCTGAAAGAAAATCTCTTTATGATGAAAATGTGGATTAGAATATACCATATCAACAGAGCATTACCACACAATGTTAGTTTACTGTTAAGTTAGATCCTTAATTTCAAACCGTACTGTACTAATAACTATGCAAAGAAGCATAGGTACCACTTATATGAAATGCCCAGGGGTATTTATAAAGAAGGTGAAAAAAAAGATGAGAACAGTTGTTTATTGAATCCCAAGTGCCTGGCTTTTAATGCTTTTTTAATGCACAAGCATTAAATAAGTATTCATAAGAAAACAGAAAAAAAAAAAAAAAAAACAGGCAGGATACAGCTCCAAGCTAAAGTGCAGGTTATGCCAGGGTGTAACCTGAATATGTCCCGTGACCCAAGAGTAACTGCTGAGCAGTGCTAAGAAGGAAGCAAAGGTGTGAAAGGTGTGATAGCTTTAGCTTTCCCCCGGTTAATACAGGCCTGCTTTAAACTGATTGACATTGCACTTTAAAGACAAAAACTTCAAACTCATGAAATCTTTCAAATTATCATATTTGATGGCATTTCCATCTCTTGACTTTCCTACACCTGCAGCACACTAGACAAGGTAATAATTTATGATAATTATATGAAAATATATAATTAATATTCACCTCTCATTTCTCATCACTTTAGATGATTAGTAATGCAGAGTAAAAATGCTGTCAGATTTCTAATTGCTTTGTAATGGGCCTGAAGTAGGGAAATCGTTCAAGACAAACAATCTGTCACTTGTCTGTTACCTTAACTATCTATCACTTAAAAAAAAAACCCAGCTCATTAAATACATTGCTAATGAACAACAAAAGACTGTACTCAATGTGCCCAGATGTACCTTTTTAAACAATACTGTAAATTGCTAAAATAATTCCCAAGACATTTTCCATCATTTTGTGGAAATTTAATGGAAAACATATATTTTCGGTGCACGTTACATCTCATTTGTTCACATCATTATGACATTTAGTCTATCTCACATATCTCCTGGGAGACAAAACTTTTTTTTTCTTTTTTACTTGACAAATGTGACCCATTTAAACAAATTCCGGAGGAGCTTAACACTCAGATATCTAACATACTTTAAAAAAAAAATAGGATTGTTCCGAGTTGAACAAATTATTTTATCTTTGGTAGTGAAAGAAGTGTTCCCAAGAAAATAATTCTGTCTTACACCATTCCTTGAGTCAGCTCTGACAGAACAATTCATTTGAAAATAATCCTCCTCAGTGTTCTCAGCTGAACCATCAAAATTAACTCAGTAGTCCAGGAGGAGTATTGCCAAGAGGCTATAATGAAATATTCTATATAGTTCCCATTAATTGCCACTTTAAAAATTAAGCCAGAAAGATAGAGAAGGAAAAACACAGAAATGATTTAAGAGAAAATGTCTTTCTGTTAAAAAATTACAAGTATTCAGTCTCTTAAATTTAACAGAAATAAATATTCAGTGGCTGTTTGTGTTGGTATTTATTAATGCTAAAAGGCCCTATAATTTAAGGCAAAGGATGTAGTAAGAATTGACAGCTGAATACAGAAGCCAGACAAAATCAAATCTAGAATTAGGCACAATTTTTAACGTTAGGATAATTAGCTATTGAAATAGACTGTCTCGGAAGTGAGGAATTTCTCATTTTCTAATGCTGATACGGTGTTCCAAAATATATAAAAGTTCAGACTAAGTAATCTGGTACTTTCTTCTGGCTTTATGGCTCTCATTTCTTCTCAATCATAAAATACAAAAGCAGAGAAGACTCTAATACCACATTAAAAAAACAGGAATAATATAGATAAAAAGTTAAGCTAAGAGACTAAAACAGGAATAGTGTTTCCTATTAAGAAACCAAAATACTGAAATGCATGCTTAATGCTGTTCAGATAGGGACATAGTTGTCCAGATGGGAATTAGTTCTATTGAATAACTTTTCAACTATACAAAGATATTAATCTCAAAATTCCTTATTTCTTATATTCTTCCTATATTTTGAATGTTCTAAATGGTAAATAATCTTACAGAGACTTGCCTTCTGATTTGCATAAATATATGCTTACTTGCATCAATCTTTTGTATATTTCTATAGCAATATAAAACTAATACAAACAGAAAAGGCATAAAAAAATACTACTCTAAATTAATACTGTGAATACACTTTGAAAAATAAAGATTCTTAATTTTTAAAATAAAGTTTCTTAAAAGAATAAAATAAAAGTCACCTTATCTTTTATTGTATTAATATACAACACAGTAGCCCAGGGGATTGCTACGTATGAGTCAGAAAATTCTTTCCTTATACTCTTATCACAACATAGCACAATACAATAAAACCTTTTAATAAAGCATATAATAAAATGATAAATTTTCCTCAAAAGACAAAACCAAACAACAACAAAAAAAAAGTCTATGTATAAATTATCTTACATTTACTATGGGAAGATGACTTTAAAACATTTAGGTGTTCAGCTGAAGTGAACTTAACAGCACCTGCATATACTTAAATAAATTCTGAGATATACGTGAAGATATACAAGGAAATGATGAAATATGGGTTTATATAGACTTGGGTCTTCTCTCTCATACCTTCCCATTACAACAGCCCCAGATCCTCTCCATGACCTCAGTCCTAAGTACACCGCAAGTTGCCTCGTTTTTCTCACACAGACTGACTTACAATGCAAGTTCCCAACGCTTCCCACGGAACTTGCCTGCTTTTGTTTTGGTTACAGAAGGGGGAAAAGCAGAAATTCCTATGGCTACTTTGAACTACCTGCTCTAGTAGCAACTAGGAGCTGCTAAAAGCCATGTCTGATTTATCATGGATCCCCCTCTCATCAGAACTATTTGATTTTAACGAATCTGGAGATAATGTTTCATACGTTTGGTTTGGAATCAGTCCAGTCAACAGCTTCAAAATTTATTATGCAGACAGGCTACGATCAACTAAACCTAATCCCCCAAATGCCTTAAAACGTAAGACTGTGATTTCTCCCCGAAAGGAAAGATAATTCATTAAATAAGAAACTGAGTCACTAAGAGCATAATATCAGGTAAGATAAACCTATAGTGGCTCCTTTTTTGTAGCTCATGCATTTTTGCAGTTCACAAGCCTTTAAGTATAATATTAAACAACCTATTTTGCTGCTAAGCAAGTGTAGGGTTACCTCTGAAATTGTTCTGACTTCAGAGTTATTTCAATAACATTTATATAATTAATTTTGTATCGACCATAACGTTACAGAGAAGTTTATTACTAGATAGAAGTGCTCATAGTTTTTTTTCTGTGTTTACACTGCGTTACCAACGGGATTAGAGCACCCAAACCTGCAGGGGATTCAGCCCAGACTGGCCTGGCATCTCCGCCGCTTCCTCTTCACCCCCTTCCCGCCACAACACCCCGATTCTCCACGTACCGCCACCCCGGAGCGTCGCCGCCACCGCTGCGGCCGCGCCGAAACGCCGCCGGTCGCCATGGCGACAGCGTCGGGCTCCGCTTCCTGCCGGTGCCAGTGCCCCTAGTGCCCGGGCGGAAACAGGCAAGCCGGAGCGCGAAGGCCTCAGGACTGCTGCCCCTGCCGCGCGCCAGGCGCTGAGCGGTGTCCGAGGCGTGTGTAAGGAGGGGAGTTGTTTCCTTCCGGACGAGTTAATCCCGCGCACGGGGCGCTGCCATTGCCGGTTCCGAGCGCGGGGCAGGTGGGTGCCAGTCGTGCTGTGACGTGGGGCCCCCCGCGGGCCCCCCGCGGGGGCGGGTTCGGCGACCGTTAGCGGCCGTTAATGGGGGCTGTGCCGAGGTAGGCGGCGGGAGGGCAGCGCGCTCCGTGCTGGGTGTAACGTACGTGGGACTATTGGGATTAACTTTCTAAATCTTATTCCAGGAATGGCAAATTAAGTTTTCACGTTTTTATATACTTATTTTTCTAAGATGCTAATTACAGTATTTCTTTTGAAGTGTGTGTTATATACTGCATAGGTAGGTTAAAATGGTTTATAAGATTAAAATGTGATTCAAAAGAGTTGATGGCGGTTTTAGGCACGATACCCTTAGGAATAGGTAAAGAAATAGCTTACCCATTTGCTCTGTATTGTCAAATCTGTGGAGTGTTTTGGCCATGTGAATTAATAAACTCTTTTCTGCACTGTAGATTTCAAGTAGGCAGAGAGGTATGTGTGAGGAACACAGCCCTTTTCATGATCTCATAGTTTGCGTATTTCTTCACTTTTAATTTTACAAGTGTTCTTTTCAAGTTATAATTACTATTTCATTTTGTTTAGCAGCACTAAGAAAGGAGTTTCTTAGCCCCTTGGACTATGGCCTTTGAAAGGACTACTCGAAAGGACTGGTACAAAATTTTGGGTGCAGAGCCATCAGATAGTCTAACAGAACTAAAACGGAAGTACCAAAAGCTGATATTGTTAGTAAGTATGCTCTTGTTACCGAAATCATGAAAAAATAAATTTGTAAACCCATAAAGTAGTAACTGCAGACTTCATTTTACTTTTTTTATATAAATATGATTAATCAGAGTGTGTTTATAATATCACTTTACTGAGGTTGGTTTAAGTATGAAATAAATGTTGAGAGCTTACAATTTAATATATCCAGAAACTGGTAGTCTAGTTCCAAAATATCAATATATTCCCAGATTTGCTAAAAACTTGTGAATGAAGCCAAAAGTGTATTGAGATAAATATTGCTTCCAGCACCTGATGGAACAAAAATCAGGCTTGCAGGTTGAGAAAGGTCATTTGTTCTTTGAAGTAATGTAATCATGAAATGCGTTAATTGGTATATGCTCTCTGCCATCATGCCTGCAGTCAGTGTCCCAAATGCAACACACAATAAATAGTAATTATCTTTAAAGAAGTCTTCATCTCAAGTTCTTCCTGACAGTCTGTAGTAAGGGAGTAGAAAATATATAGGGGAAAAAAAGTGCATAAATGTTAACTTAGGTTTTATTTGAAGGTTTCTGGTGCATTTATGTAAAATCACATTGTTGGTTAGCCACTAAGACTTCATGTTTTCTTCTTTTTATTTTTTTTCCGCTGTACTCGTAGTATCCATGCACAAGAATCTCAGAGGTTTGTCAGATTGCTTCATACTGTTCTTGGCTCTCCTATTTTACTCCTTCCCCTGAGCTCTGAGTTTTTGGTCAAATTATGCTTTGGCCTGGCTTTCTGAGAAAAGGTCACATATGTAATTAAATTATCTCAATTGATTTTGATACTGTTTGCCATTTTCAACCAAATTTGATAGACAAATATAAATCCCAAGATAACCAAGTTCTCTTAAATGTCATGAAACCTGGTGAGCTGCTGGAGAGGAAAGGTGCAAGTTAATGTTCCTGACAAAAAGGAGGAGAGGAGAACTTTTTTATTTTGATTCTTTTAAATAACTGGTAGCTAGATAGTCAGCATTGGCAAGATGTTAGGTTAGCCATGCATATGTTCTCTTGCTTTAATTTCAGATGTCAGAATTAAAATGGTAAAAAGCTGGGTTTTTTTTTTTCAGTGAGGTGAAGTAAGTGGCATTTTAGGAGAAATTAGGTTTGAAATAAATTGATTTCTCTCCTCCCCCTCTCCCCCGCCATATTTTTTCTAGCCTCCTTAAATTGTTTTCAAGGCTATTTCATCAATTAACACATTTTGATACCTCTTTTCAGCTGGGTTTCCTAAGCAATGCTGCTGTACATTAATTCCATCATATTAAAGGGCACTGAGATGAGCTAATGTGTTTAACAATGGATCTATGTATACTAATTAGATTAAGATCGTATATAAAGGATTTTTCCAAGTTGTTTGCCACCTAAATAAAATAGAACAGAACTAAAACTACATTTCCTTTTTGTGTATTAACTTAAAAATATTACTGACTTGTAGTGTTACATCACCATACTTCCATGTAATTATTTTGAAGCGTATAAAATGCTTCAAAATCCTGCAATTGCAACAGCCTAAACTTTGCTGCTGCTAAAGTAAAAGAAGGTAACTATTCTTTGGAATCTGTGCATTTCCAAGTCAAGTGGAGAGTGTTACTTATGTGAAAACTCAGTGGGAAATGTTGGCGAAAACTGGAGTACTTTTTTCCCTCCTACACTATTTGGTTCAGAAATCTTTTCCTGTTAGCAGTGACACATCTGTGTTCTCTCTCGCTTTCTCTTTTTTTTTTTTTTCCCTTTGTTCTTTTTTGTTTGTTTTAATTAAAAAGCCACATTGGTGCTCACTTGTAGTGTTTTCTCCAAGGCAGCTTTTCTGCTCCTTGTTTGTTGCTCTCGCCATATGTCCTGTCTCTGTTCATCTTTTTCTTTTAGCTGAACTGTTACAGAGATTTTCTTGTTTGTCTGTTTACTGATACAACATGCAATGCAGTCAGTCTAGCATGATGGTAATCAAACAGTTATTACTGTGTTATTAGTAAAAAAAAAAAAATTTTTTTTTGGTGTAATAAAAAAAAAAAAAAAAAAAAAAAAAAAAAATCAGTCGAAAGTGTAGATCTGGATTGACCTTACGTCTTACCTGTTGCGTCTGTTACTGTGAATTAGTTACTTTGCTCCCCCAGTAAAACTTGTGCTTAGCGCTCTTACTCACAAAGTACTCCCTTAGGGTTTTCTCAAGTTGTTGCTGGGGATTATCTTGGTATGGGCAGGTCTACATGCAGATGCACCAGACAATTCTTTGCATGGTGGTAGTGATTCAGTAGCGTAAGTCCAGGTTACAAGCTGCAATGGCAGATGGGTAGTTGTGTTTTCTGCTTGTGAAGAGGTTTCACAACAAATTACACGGTCAATACAGGGAGTTCTAACTTAAGCATAGCTGCAGAAGTTAACCTTATGAAGAACTGTACTGACCTAATTATTCTAAAATTCAAAAATTTATAAAATAGGTAAAGGAAGTCACAATTGGTGTGATATTAGTCTTTAATGGTGAATGTTCTAGACACAGATTTTTTCATGAGTATCAGAGATATCAATGGTGGAATTTATTTTTAAACATAATTCTGCTGTTAAAATAAAAATGGAAATGCCTGAGTCAAAGCTTCCTTGAGATGATCCCCAGTGTTTCATGTTGAGCATTTGCTTTTTGCCATCTGCTATATTCTGTATTTGTCAACACATGTATGCTTAGCATCTTGAGTGAACAGGCAGATGTAAATTTCCTGGACTAAGAAGAGTTGGAGATCTTGCCATATGTCAGCCAAAAGAAATCTAAATTTGCAGATAAATAGGCTATTTTTAAAATAAGATCAAACTTTTCTGTGTGCTGGCCTTTTTTCATGTGTGATAGTTTGTACTTTGTTTCTGAATGTGTAAAACTAACAGTGGGTAAAATTAGAATAATAACAGTAGGGTATTCAAAAAATAATTGTACCATCTTATTATTGCTACAGCTTTTGTGTTCTGGTCTAGGATTTTGTGGTCAAAATGTAAGCTGCCAGGTTGTTTTCATATTGTACCTGTGTTATACCTGAAAACTATTCTTTACAGAACGTAAAGTCACCAGCCATAAGCTTTATCTCGCTGAAAATCAGGTGTCTATTCATGTTGATGCTGATGATATTATAGGATACCTTTCAACTGGAAAAAAAAATTATTGTGCAGGAAAATTATATGCTGCTGTTACAATGCGTGCCCTAATCTTAAAGAAAATCCATGTAATTTGAGCGTGGAGTATTCAAGATGCTCTTATTTTTAATATGGAAACGAGATAAAATGTGCCACTTAACACATTGGTACAAAGATTATCTTTTGATCAGAAGGGGTGGTGTGTGTACATAAATACAAACTGAGCGTTAAGATGATCATTTATACTGTTTCAAAAAACAGAAAATTTGAAAATAGCATCAGATGTATGAGAGAATGACTGTCAGAAACATTAAAGAGGACATTAATAGAAGTTTAATGAAGAAAAATAATTTCAGGAGGAGATTGTTCAACTTTAGCTTGTGTAGAGGAAAGACATCTATCTCTGCAGAATAAAAACCACTGAATTGTACCAGGTTTATGTACACAACTACAAGGGCAAGCAATACAGTGGAGGTCATGTATGTAGAGTTTCAATCTAAATTCAGTGTTACTTCTTGAAAGTTCCTGCCAGGTAAGGACTCTTTTGATGTTGAATTTAAGTTGAGAATTTGATGCCCATCAATGAAAACGCTTTCAGGTATGGGGTGTCAGAAGTCTTACAGTAATGCTTTTCATAATGAAGTTTGTCATTAGAGAGTAATCCAAGTCTGCTTGTTTTGTGATTTTATATTTTTACTATTTTTAGTAGCTTTTTGCAGATCTTTCATTTTTCATTTGTATGGCAGTATATTTTTTAGCGATACTTAGAAAATTAGCATGCCTCTGTAACTCGAGGTAGCTGTCAGAAAACAGATTTTGCAATTTGACAATCTAAATAGAAGAACAAGCTCAGTGCAACCCAGTTATAGCTGATTGAAGTTAATGTAATTGCAGCAGAGAAAAATACACCACTAAGTTTGATACAAAGAAGGATTTTCTTTTTAGGTGTGTTTTGGGTTTGTTTACTGTGAGTGGTTCTAGCAAAGTACAAGTGGGGAACTTGGCAAAACTGATTATTAATTTACGTAGCCTCTAAAGGAACCTGAGTATTCCCAAAGTTACTAGTTCATCCTGCTGATGTTTCTGCCATGGGACTTTTTGTTTAATTCTTTCACCTGATACTTTTTTTTTTTTTTTTTTAATACCAGAAGAGATCATTGTCATAATAATATTCAGTAATGGGTCTGCGGAAAGGAGATTTTCCCTGGCATGAACGTGCTGCGATAATAGGAACTTCTGCTAATCTGAATGGTACCAGAAATTTATTGTATATGTCATGATAGTAGTTAAAAAGCCAAACGTTCTGAAGGTGCATTATGCCACCCCATACGGTGATGCAGACTGCCACGTCTGAGCAAAAGCTCTTGCTTGCTCTGCTGGAGTTGTGTGAAGATGTGGTGCAGGCTGCAGTTGGTCCGTGAGCCTTACATGCTCTCATTAGGGGGACTGACCAATGAGAGCATATGTCTGACACGATTAGGCAGCTGCCTAATCAAGCCAAGTGCCGGGGTAACCAATTAGTGCTCTGGTTGGTCAGCGACCAGCTGGGAGGGCTACCCTGGGCACATGTCCTAGGCATGGACAGGCTCAGAAAGGTATCCTGATTTTCAGAAGTGAGGGGAGGAAGGGAAGCCCATGGCGGTAGCTGCAGGGAGGAAGGGAGAAGGGATGCAGTGAGGTATCCCAGTAGGAAAAGGAGAACATAATAATACTGAGTTGGAGAGTCTGCAATCCTGACTCAAGTGAATTGGGTTTCCACCATATCTAGATATATATGGATTTTTTGTTTGTTTGTTTTATTATTTGGGTAAAAATGAAAACTTTTTACTTGATTTTTAAGAGCTAAGTACATTTTAA